CGCAGTCTTTCAGGAACTGTCGGCTCCTGGCTGCGCCTTCGCGCGGCGCGTGGGACCGGGAGTGTGCATGGCACGCCGTGTTGCCGGATCTGGGTGTGTTTGAGCGCGTGTCCCGTGTGCCCTGCTTGGTTGTCACTGTGCACGTGTGGGGATCGAGTGTAGGCTGGGATTGGGGGACGCGTGACTAGCAGCAGGACCGCTGATGCGCGTGCCCTGCGGAGGCCGGCTTGTGTGTGCACGTTCGTGTGAGTGCATGGATGGGTGTGTGGGGCGCCGGCAGTCAGGTGAGGCCCTGCTGGTGCCCCACTTGGCCTCTGGAGCCGATGGGTGCTCTCTTGCACCTGGGCACCCAGGCCACCCGACCTCGGGCTACAGCCTCCCAGGAGCCCCAGCTTGCTGTTTGGACCTGGAGGACTGAGGAGTGAGGGATCAGAGTGGCAACTGGTCCATCCTAGGGTCACTGTCCCTCCTGACCAGCTTAGAGGGTGCAGGGCAGGGGGATTCTTGCCCTAGGAGAGGTTTGGCAAATTGGAAAGTTGGGACACAGCCGGGGCCCAGGCGCCCCTCCTGGCTACCAAGACGTAGCTGAGGCCCTGACTCCCAGAGGGCAGAGGGGTCAGATGGTGCTGGGGTGTGGGGCCCTTGGGTCTCATACCTGGGTGTCGCTGGGGTGCAGTCAGTGCTCTCAGGGCTGTGGACCATGTGTCCAAGGAGCCTCCACAGGCCGCTCAGCCTCTCGGGACCCCAGAGAGGGACGAGTGGGTGGGACATAAAAGGGTTTCCTCCTTATCTGGGGATTTGTTGGCTGTCAGGTGGAGAGAGGGGAGCCTGGCCCAGGCCCCAGCTTCCTTGTCAGCTGACACTGAGGGGAAACCAGAGTGGGGTCCAGGTTTATTGTGTGCCCTTGGATGAGCCCAGCCTCTCTGGTCCCTTTCCTGCCTCCAGAGCCAACTTTTCTCCTCAGCTGACCCAGGATGCCCAGCCCTACTCCCAGAGGCACCCTCTAGCTGGCCCAGGCTTTGGCTCCCTCATCCCCTTTGCCCAGGGGCTATTTGTTGTCCCAACAGCCACCCAGCCTCTTGGCCCCCTGCTGAGCAGGAGGGTGGTGTCCCCTAGTCCACCCAACCCCAAGGTGCCCTTGAGCAGTGGGGTGAGACTCTAGGAGGGGGCACTGTCCACACTCGCCTGGAGGTGGGACTTTAGGTACATGGCAGTGCAGAGTCCAGGCACCCCTGAGCTCGTGGGGGCAGAGACCTGTGTGTTGGGGGCAGGTAGCCAGGAAGCTCTTGGTACGTCTCTCCCAGTTCCCCTCTGGGTGCCTGTGAGTGAGCTCGAGTGCTCGGACTGAGGTGGCTGTGGGTGTGGGGGGAGTGTGACCTTCTTCCTGCCTGCCACAGGCGGGAGACACCTGGCACACCTCAGCCAGTCCACCGCACCCATGGCCTTCCACTAACCCCAGACTGCGGGAGTCACACTGCCCTGCTCCATCTGTCCTGGGCCCACCCTGCTAACAGCCTGCGGCCCCTAACCTTCACTCTGTGACTCCACACCTTACCCTGTCCCTCACCTGGCACAGGGCCCTGCAGCCAAAGGAGCTGTGACTGCAATACCTACTTGGCCTCTGAGGGCCAGGGCCAGGTCAGGATGGTGAGAGGGCACCCCCTTACTACTGCCCCTTGCTGTGTTTCAGGGTGGACAGGTCCTCCTCCCCTCGACGGAGCCTGTGGTGAGTACTGGGAATGCTCAAGAGGGTCTGGGGACGCCTTCAACCTGTTCCCCCCTCCTGTAAGGCCGAGCTAGATCCACCAACCCTCCCACTACCATCTCTGAGATCTTGTCCTCAGCACCTACACTGTTCTTTCTGGAGCTCAGCCGCAGAGTCAGACAAATCATATTTAGAATTTAGCTCCACCACTGCCTGTGTAGCCCTTGGTGATTGATTTATTTTAGATGATATATTTATATTTATATATTTTGTTTATTTGTAGCCAGGGATGGAACTCAGGACCTTGTGCTTGCCAGGCAGGTGCAGTGCCGCTGAGCTACATCCCCAAGTCTTTTCAGTGATTTATTAATGTCTCTGATTCTCAGTTTTCTCATCTGTGAAATGTGGATTGAGTTGCCCATTTAATGCTAGGTGTGGTGGTGCAAGGCTGTAATCCCAGCTTCTCCTACTCAAGAGGCAGAGGCAAGTTTAAAGCCAGCCCGGGCAATTTAGCTGAGTTGTTATCACAAAATAAAAAATAGAAAGGGATGGGAATGTAGCTCAGCACTCCCTAGGTCCAATCCCTAGTACCAAAACAAACAAACAAACAAAATTTTTGAAAAAAATCTGTTTAGTGGAGGATTAGTTTGAAAAATCAAGGAAACAAACTGGGCCTATAAAGTTCCTGTCCTTTTTCTCTTTTTTCACCCTTACCACTTCACGGTAGTCTTTTCCCTGAACCCAGAACCTCTAGGCCGCCCTCAGACCCCCTCTGTAGCCTGACTCTGAGCTGTCCCCCTCTGGAGGAGGGAAGGGAGCGGCAGTGCCTGCATGTTCCCCACACCGAGAGGCAGTGAGCAGAGGGTGTCCTCACCCCAGCTTCCCTGGCACCAGCGTCACGCGGGCCTGCCCGGCAGCTCCTGCTGCCACTTCCCCTGCAGCTGGAGGGACCCCCAGTGGCTCCAGCTTCTGCTTCCTGCCCTGCTGAGGGCTTCCTGGGGGCAGCAGGCCCTGTGGTGCCCCCAGCTGCTGGGAGACGCCTGTCTGCCACCAGAGCCCCACCAGAGCCCCTGGGAAGCCACACCCGGGGCGGGAGCACACGGGGTGTTTAGGCCGAGCCTTTTCATTTCCCTTTGATGCCCCCTGTGCAGGCTGGGGCCAGTTGCTCTCCCTTTCTGAGCTGTATCTGCTGCTGCCACGGCCAGGGGTCTGAGTCTCTTGCACACAAGACGGTGTGCTGTGCCCAGAGCAGGAGCAGAGTCGGGGAGATAGAGACAGAGGAGGAAGATGCTGCCTTTTCCCATGAGGACCTCAATAATATCACCCAACCCCTGCTAGGTATTATTGGGTGATTGGGATGTGCCCTCACACATAGCCTTGACCACATCTCTGAGTCAGGGACTCTTCTGTCCAACTATAGGTGACAGTAAAGAGGCGCAGAGTGGGAAAGTCATTCGTCCAAGGTCACACAGCACAAGCTGGGCTTGGTGGTGCAGGCCTGTAATCCCAGCACTTGGGAGGCTGAGGCAGGAGGATCGCTGTGAGTTCGAGACCAGCCTGGGCTACATAGTGAGTTCCAGGTCAGTCTCACCTGCCCAGTGAGACCCTGTCTCAAAAAAGAAAAAAAGAAAAAGTCACACAGCACAGAGATGAGATTTGAACCTTGATCTTCCAGACTCTGCACAGCCCGACTCAACTCACTTTATCCCAAGACCTCCAGGCCACAGAAAGGGTCTGAACAAGGGCTGTTCTTGAGGGAAAACTTGGAATTGGAGAGGTGACCCAGAGGTCCACCATGCCCTGGTGCTCGCTTTGGCTGCACAAATATTAAAATTGGGATACCTGAACCAAGAGTTAGATGTAAGGACTACAGGCTGATAACTGAGCAGCTGTGTGCTTTCGGGTAAGTCCCCTTCTCTCTCTGGGCCTCCATGGACACCGGTGAAAGAAGAATCCCAGGTCCTCTGGACACTCCCCATTACCCACAATGCCATGCTCTGAGCCCGCCTCCCCCGAGTTGCTGTCCAAGGTGCTAACCCAGGGCCTTCCCTCCCCAATCCAGAAGCCAGTTGTTCTGTCCTAAACCTGTACCCTGGGTCTATTTATCACTGCACAATGGTCAGTGGTGGCCATTCTGAGCAGCAGTGACGTCTCCCTAGCACTCAAGGCCTGTCGCCCCCTCCCTTCCAGTGGGGGCTCACTCCTCGGTGCCCCGAATGGCCAAGGGGTCCCAGCTAGCAGGTTCACCATGGTTTTACTCTCGTGCGCTCTTCCCTCCATACCCCTCCATGTCTGCAAGCCCTGCCATGCTCTGGCCTCTTCCTCCATGAGCCCACATCCCCCGTTCCAGACCCTCAAACGCCGTCCTGCTGTTCACCATTCCCCTGTGTCGGAGATCACTCCTGGGGAGTCTGGACCCTCCGTGTGAACTTGTGCGGCCCTGGGCAGGTCACGCCCCCCTCTCTGAGTCCCCTTGGTGCTCACCGCTGTTGGTGGACTGGCTACTTCACGGAGGTGACTAAGGGGACCTGGGTGTGTCCAGATCGCCTCAAGACATGAGGCAGCTCCGAGAAGGAGTCTCTTGGTTGCTTGGGGCTTGACCTCATGATGCTCAGCACAGGTCCCTCTGCCAGGCTGTGCCCTTCCTTTCCTCTGTCCTCACATGGTTCTTGTAGAGCCTGGTAAACGGTTTATGGCTGTGGAATTGAATCCAATGTGTTCCGAAAGCAGAGCAGTGAAACTTTGTCAGCAGTCTGAGAAAGCTTCCTGGAGGAGGTGAGAGTCACCTCACTGCCTTTTAAAACAAACCTTAAGAGGCTGGGGCTTGGATCACAAGAGCAGTGGGGCTCGGGAGAGGCCAGAGGTGATCGAGGGTGGGTTCCCCCACTCCCACCCTTCTGCTGGGGACTGCAGAAGAGGGGAGCTCAGGGAAGAGCATGGGGGAGAGGAGGGAGGCCCTGTGGAAGGGGCTTGGGAGGAACTCTGTTTCTCAGCCCTAAAGAGTCCCAGTCCAGAGGGGGAGCGGGCATTTAGGATGGTTCAGGAGGAGGAGGTGAGAGGTGTGGGGGTGGCAAGGTGGGTTTTCCCAGAGCAGGGGTTTCCGAGAGCACCTCTTGGAAGAGGAGAGGCAGCTTTGGCCTTCAAACTGGGTGCCTGGGAGGAGGAGACAGGACCTGGCAAGGGCAGGGTGTTGTGTTGAGCTGTGGCCTCAGCCCTGTAGGTTGGCCTCAGTGTCCCCACTTGGGAGGCCAAAGTCAAGACTAAAGACAGTGAAGGCTCTGGCCCCAAATCACCCAGCTGGCAAGGGCTGGATTTGAATCTCTCTCTTGGAATGATTGTGTTTTGGTCAGAGATGGAGGAGATTTTAGGTATGGGTGAGGGAATAGGAAAGTGACGTGGCCTGGAATTCCCCAAAACGGCAGTCACTGCCCTGCCCTGTGTGTCCCACTGGGAGGTCACTGAGATGTCCCTCTCATGACAATATTAGTGCCAATTGCTCCCCTATGTGGGACACATCCTATGTCCTGGGAACTGGGCCAGGTGCTGCAGTGCCAGTGTTCTTTCCATCTTGACACTAGCCTTACAGAGCAGGGGCTATCCCTGCCTCTCCCCATTGTACAGATGAGGAAACCAAGGCCCAGTGTGGGGAGGTGACTGCCTCTGGGCATGCTGCCAGTGAGTGGTAAACCAAGACTGCCACAAGGGCAGCCTGCACCCGAGCCTTGGAAGCTGCTGGGCTGAGTGGTGGGCTTAGGGGGGTGGCCCTGTCCTCAGTGGCTCCCTCCCTGGGGACCTGTGTGCTGCTGCAGGAAGCACAAGGCTGGCCTCATTACAAGCTCTGAAATGCCAGGCAGCATGGCCCACTGGGCCTCCTCATCTATTATGCATCTGGTGGGCAGCCCCCGGTGTGCAGCTGGCAGAGCACAGACCAGGGAGCTGGCAGCCGCCTCCTGAGCTCACACCTGTCACCACCCTCTGGGTAGGGACCTGCAAGGCAGATGCCAAGGCAGCACCTGCCCATTGCCCCAGCCCAGCTAGAATGAGATGGTCCCATTGGGGACTGGGGCATGGATGCTGGTCCTGAGCCCACTGACCTACCCAGCCTAGCAGCCTTCCCGAGAGGGGCTGGGACTGTGGTTGAGCCACTGCCTGCTGTATGTAGGCTTGGTTCTCAGCACTGCAGAGCCGGTGGGCAGTGAGACAGGCCAGTCCTCCCCAAGAAATCTTGCTTTGGCAAGTACTTTGCCTTTCTGAGCCTCAGCTTCCTCATTTGTAAACTGGGGATTGGGGCGACAGACCCTCAGTAAACAGACACGAAGCCCAACTTGAGTGGGTGCCTGACTTTCAGAGCAGGGCTACATGCTTCGCAGAAGTGGTCCTTCCCGAGGTTTTGTTATGAGCCAGGCTGAGTTCCAACGCACTCTGCACACATGGTCGAATTTCATCATTGCCAAGCTAGAACCATTGTTATTCCTGGGTAAGGGTTGAGGCAGAAATGCTAAGGATCTGCTCAGGGTCTCTTGGCAAAGCTTCGATTTGAACCGAAGTCATGCTAGCCTGTTTCTCACCTTGTGCTGAGTGGCTGGAGGAGGAGAGAATCATCAGACTTCTTAGAAGGAGTATTCGCACCAAACTTGAAGAATGAGAGGAGCCAGCCATTAAAAGACCTTGTGGGGGTGGAATGGGAGTGCCAGAACAGGAATAGTTGGTGCAATGGCCCTGAGGCAGGAATCGGTTTAATATGTACTGTGGATAGTGGGAGACCATAGTCAAGTGAAGTAAGAGGCAGATTTTGAGAGTGGGGAGGTAACCAAATTAGCCAGGATCTTGCAGGTAGGATAGGAGTTGAGCTATGTCAGTGACTGACATGTAGAACCACCGAGTCTCAGACTGACTCCTGGCTTTATAAAATCTTAGAGAATTTGAACCTCCTGGAATCTTTGGAAATGAAAGGGTCTTTGGAAATGAAGAGATACCCCTTACAGCCTCCCACTTAGCAAGGAACCCCTTCTTTAATTCATGACCCTTTAAAAGAAGCTGAGAAAAATACCTCTTCATTTTCAGTGGCTTCACAGATCTCTCGGCACCCAGCATCCTGAGTTGAGCCCAGCTGCTTGACTTCCTCGTGGCAGAAGCTCACTGCCCCCGGTGCAGCCCATGCCATTGCTGGGTAGCTCAGATGGGTGTCAGTGCTCCTTCTTTTGAGAGCCTGCGGCCTGAGTCTCAGCGCCACCGCTGCGCCCCCACCACACAGCCTCCCTCCCAGGAGCTGAGAGTGGAGACCATACATCCCCTTCCCAGGCCACGCATTGCTCCTGCTGCCTTCTGCCTTCATCTTCTGTTTAGCCCTGCTGTTTCCCTGAAGCCCTGAAGCCTCAGCCACTGTCGCTGTCCCTCCCTGTCCACCCCTTCAGTGTGTGGGGGCTCCTGGGTGAGCCTAGACAGAGACCCCTCTGCTGGGAAGCTTCCCTGTAGCTGTGAGAGACCAGAGGAAAATTCCCTGCAGGCAGGGCTGTTCCTGTGGCTGCCACTCTTGCTGTGTGGCTTTGGGAAGTAGGGCCCCATCTCACCGTGCACAGCACCCGCTGCCCGTCCTCAGCCATAAAGAGCAGGCTCTTGTGCTCTGAGGTCCTGGCCCAAGGACCTCACCCTACACCCTGCTGATGCCCAGTCTCTGGGTGGTGCTGAGCTGTGCAGTTAGCTAGATTGGAGTTCAGATACCCACCCTACCTTTCCCTCACTTGCTGTGTGCCTTACGCATTCTCCTTTGCCTCTCTGAGCCTCAGGTTGTCCGTAACCATAGAAACACGATTGCTTAGAATGAGTCCAGTGTGGGCCTCAGTGCATCTTGAGAGAAAAGACTCATTCATTTAAGAGCGACTCTGTAGTGGTGGAGTGTTAGGCCCCACGCGGCTGGTTAAGGACGGTCTTTCCAAACATCTCAGACCCACGCAAGCCTTTCATGAGCTCAGCGTCTTAAATAGTTGTGCGTTTGTTCAGCAGATTAATTCAACAAGCAATAGTGTGGGCTGCTCTAACAGCCAAGGCTGTGTGGTCACGGGGTGGGGACAGTAGAGAAAGTCACCCCCTCGTGGAGTCCTCAGTCTAGAGGGGGAGCTGAAGAGAGGATGTTCTCTGGTGGTGACAAGTGCTGATCAGGGACATGGGAGGGGTGCTCGGAAGGGCATCCTCCATGCCTAGGAATCTGGGAGGCTTCTTGGAGGAGGCGGCTCGGCAGCACAGTGACAGAGTGCAAGTGAGAGATCCAGTGCCGGAGAAAGCTTCAGGTCAGCAGGAGGTCAGCAGCATGGCTGGGAAGGGGAGCTCAGCCTGGCAGGTGAGGGCAGCAGACTAGGGCCTGCCCCTGCCCCCTGCTGTCCTCCCCCCTCCAGGACAGGCTCCATGACACTGAGCCAATCCGAGTGCCTGGCCCTGCCATCGGCAGTTGGGCAACTTTTCTGGGCCTCAGTTTCAACACCTTCGAGATGAGGCCGATTCATGTACCACCTTTCGGACCGATGTGGGGTTAAACGAAGCAAACAGTGTGTGTCAAGGCCTAAGACCAGGGCCTAGCACAGTGCGAGTGCCCCATGGATGCCAGCTCTTGTGGCTTTGCCCTTGTTGTCACTGTTGTCCTCTGCTGGGCCGGCAGAGGGTGGGTAAGACTGCCGGTGACGAGACCCCTGCATGGAGCACGTGTCCCATTGTGGCACCGGGCACTGGGTGGAGAGCACGGGCCCCAGAGCCTGGCAACCTTGTGCCAAGTCCCAGCCCTTGCCTTGCTGGCCTCGGTTTCTTCCTTTGTGCAGTGGGTACATGAGAAGGCCCAACTGCACATCATGGGAGCACCAGGAGGAGGAGCTCAGCAAGGGCCGCCCCAGGCCACCAGTGCAGCTGTTTCTGACTGAGGACCGCAGGAGGGGAGAAGGTGGGGCCCAGGTGTCCTGGAAATAACACTCTTCCCAGTGTGCTCTGACACTGTGATGGGCTGCGGGCCTGTGAGGCTAGATCATTTGCCCTAGTCCCATTGTTTGCCGTGTGGCCTTGGGCTTAGCCTTTGTGAATCTGTTTCCATGCATGCAAAGAGAGGTAGTGTCCACCTCATAGGATTCTCTCAAGGCATCCCCTGGACATTTGTTCACTCAGCAAATACAAATTCTAGCTGTGTGCCACAAAATTCATCTGTGAAGGCAGGAGACGGCAGAGGGCTGACAGGCGTGGTCCCTGGCCTGGGGCAGGCCCCCTGCTAGTGTGGGAGACAGGTGTCACTGAGCAGGCAGGCATGGGTAATTGTGGAGGGGCAGGGGAGTGAGTGCCAGGCAGTCTGAAGGGCCCGCTTTGCTGAGGCCTGAGTAGGAGGGACCTGGCAGTAGGCACAGTGGCCAGTCAGAGGGGAGAGTGTGTGAGGGATCTGAGGAAGGTGCCTGGGACTTGTCGGCCTGTGAGAAGCATCAGGAAGCTGGCTGTGCAGGCAGAAGCTGGCCCTTAAGAGCTGGGGGAGCTGCAGGGCTGGGGCCTGCTGCAGGCAGAGCCAGGCGGCCAGTCTGGAGCCCAGCTGTCTTTCTCGGCTTCCCAGAGGGTGCTGTGGTCTGGCACAGAGCCCCTGGGCTTGTACTGGGGGAAGAACAGGGTAAGGGGGCTGGAAACCTAAGCCTGCCCTCCTCCAACCCCAGCCAGTTTAGGCAGTGGGCCCTGGAATGCCTCAGCTATTCCCAGCCCACCTGTCCACGAGGCCAGAGGTCTGAGATGACCCCTTACACACGCAGACACACACATGCACACGCCCATGCCTACACACATTTCCTGCTCACACTCACAGGCTTGGTGCTGTGCAGACAGCTGCATCCTGAGCGTAAACTCACACACATGTGTTCATTCATGCACCAGATCAGAATTGATCCTTGAATAAAAACAGACCAGGGCAGCCCCATTTCTACAAGGAGACTGATTGTGGTCTAATGATCACACCACGAAATGTGCAAACCAAACTGATAGGTCTGTGCTGGCTTCTGGGAAAGCCGGTGTGAGTGTGGGGAGGGGGTTCCGGAAAGACTGAAGACAGAAGTAGCATGTGAGGTGTTTCGGGGCAGGTGGGGAAGGTGTGACGGATGCTCTCAGTGTGTGCAAAGGCCTGAAGGTGGGAGGGAGCAGGAGGCCATGGATGAGGTGGGAGAGCTGGGCAGGGTGGGGTAGACACAAAGGGCCTCATGGGCCACGTGAGGCCCCTACCCTCGCCCTGCACGAAGTGGGAAGACTTCAGGCAGGCAGGTGGCGTGATCAGTTCCAAACACTCCGGCACACAAGCCCACGCACATCCAGACACAAGCGTTTCTGCTCCCACATCCACTTCCGTTCTCCCAGGCCTCCCTGCACAACCTCCCACGGAGTCACACCCCATGTCATCAGGCAGAGCTGCTGCAGGAACTGGGAGCCGTCTCCAACAGATGGCGGATGCCCACCCCGCCACTTGGTGCTTCTGAAGGCCACAGCACTGGCCCAGCCCTGACTGGCTGTCTGTACACTGGCCTGGGGGCCCACAACCCAGCACACGTGTGCAGTCACAGCCTCTTCGCCGGGTGCCCAGAGGCGGCTGGTGCTGTAATGTGGGCTCACGGAATTCTTCCGGAAGCCTGCGGGAAGGTTAGCAACACCATTTTACAGTGGAGGAAACTGAGGCTCAGACGAGGAAGAGACTCACCCCAGGGTGCACGTCTAGAGCTTGACACTGGCGGGACTCAGGGTCAGGACTTCCGGGTGTGTTCATTGGCCCACGAGGTCTACGCATCCCACATCTGTCCAGGCTGTCATGGAGACAGTGCTTGTGCCTGTGACAAGTGACAGGTGACGTTGGAGGCCCGATTCTTCTGAAACAGGTTGATCTGGTTGAAAGTTATTTAGAGCTCCAGGGAAGAGGCTGGCCCAGGATACCTGCCGGTGACCCTGAGGCCTGGGGGTAGCATTAGGGCTGGGCCGGGCATCCACCATCCTGGGGCAGGAAGCATTTGCATTCACAAATGAGGGGCACAGCCCTGTTCCCCACGGGTGAGCCCCAGGTGGCCTGGCTCCCAGGACTGCTGGGATTCAAGGACACAGCCCTCTGACCCCTGCCTGTGCCATTTTGTCCTACCTGCCCTCCTCCCTGCTCTACAGAGCAGGCTGCCTACTGGAGGGAAAACTGTGGAGACTCTGAGGTCAGTCAGAGCTGGCTTTGTCACTGCTGCCTAGGGCAGTTGGTCAGGATGTCTGGTTGCCTTTGGTGTTAACTTTTCACCCTTGGAATCAGGGGTAAATAATCCATTCCTGTCAAGGTGATTAGAAAAGGTAAAGGAGTAGGGAGTCAGGACCGAGCTGAGTCATTGGATGTACTCAGTTTTTGCTTTTATTGGCTGGATTTTTTTTTTTTTTTTTTTTTTTAAGAGACAGGGTCTTGCTGTGTTTCCCAGTCTGGCCTTCACTTCCTGGGGTCAAATGATCCTTCTACCTCAGCCTCCCCAGTAGCTGGGAATACAGGTGTGTGCCACTGTGCCTGGCTTTTGAGGGTTTTATTGTTTCAGTACAGTGGGTTGAACCCAGGAAGAGCTAAGCCATATCCCTAGACCTTCTTTATTTTTTATTTTGAGACAGGGATCATGAAGTTGCCCAGGTTGTGCTTGAACTCACAATCCTCCTGCCTCAGGCTCCTATAGCTGGAATGACAGATGTGTGCCACCATACCAGGTTTTAAAGGTGCTGTGTTTTATGATACCGGGAATTGAACCCAGAGCCTTCACACTGACCTATATCCCCAGCCCTTCTAATTTTTTTCTTTTTTTGAGATAGGGTCTCTCAGTAGTTGCCCGGGCTCAGCTACAACTCCATCCTCTTATGTCAGCCTCCCAAATAGCTGGGAGCAGAGACATGTGCTTGCCTCCCTGCCCAGCTGCTTCAGGGTTTTTATCGTGTGTGTGTGTGTGTGTGTGTGTGTGTGTGTGTGTGTGTGTGATTGTATGTGTGTATTTGTTTGTTTGTTGAAACAGGGTCTTGCTATAAAGTTCAGGCCGGCCTTGACCTCACTATGTAGCCCAGGCTGGCCTCAAACTCTAAGCAGTCCTCCTGCCTCAGCTGATTAAATAGGTGTACTCCATCATGCCTGGCTGTTTGAGGTTTTTGATTACCCAAAAATCTTCAATTATTTGATTACAGAAATAAGTTTTTATTATAAAAAATTCAAATGATGCAGAAAAATATGTGTCTTAGCAGAAGTTCTGAGACCCTGCTTCTCAGAGACAAGTCATGTAAATGTCTATGTGTCATTTACAATTTTTGCACATAAGATTTGGGGTTTTTTTGTTTTTAGTTTTAGTTTTTGTTTTTTTCAGACAGGGTCTCACTAGGTAGTCCAGGCTGGCCTCGAAATCCTGGCAATCCGTCTGCCTCAGCCTTCCAAGTGCTGGGATTATAGGCGTGTGGTACCACACCCGGCTACTACTATCTCATTTTGCAGATGAGGAAACCAAAGCTCAGAGAAGAGAAGCAACTTGGAGGAGACCAAGGTCCCTCCACAAGGAAAAGTCCTCCTCCAGGACTGTTTCCATCCAGGCCTGGGTGGACCCAGTTCCCAGTTGCTGTCCCCCCTTTCACCCTCTGTAGGATGCTGAGCTGACCTTCGTGTCATCTGGTCTGAGATCAGACTTTCAGTGGAGAAACTGAGGCTTGGAGAGGTTACGGTGACTGAATCCTGCGTGCATATGATTTAGAGGCAGTGCCGGGACTTCTTATTGTCTTCAGTTAGGAGGAAGTGGCCTTATCCTTCTCCAGGAGTTTGGCTTTGGTGACCCAGCAGCAAAGACTTGTGCTCAGCAGCCTGGCCCAGAGCCCTGGAGGTGGCAGTCCCCAGCTTCAACCCCAACTGGGGCTGGTACACGGCAGGGATGGATTAAACTAGGCCTCAGCATTGGAGGCCTCGTCCTGGGTGGATATCATTGGGGCTCCACTTTGAGGGGAGTAGACCCAGTTCACACCCCTCTGAGGCTGACACCCAGCACCACTGTCTGACCCCAAGTGGCCCCCAAGTGGCCGGACGTGTGCTCTGACTGAGAGTAGAGATGGAGTGCAGGGCATGGGCAGAGAGTACACAGCAAAGGGATGTGGGGAGCTCAGAGAAGGGAGACTCCAGCTGTGGAGGCTGGAGGTCAGCAGCGTCGGGGGCGGGCAGCATTGTGGCCGCTGTAATGCCACGTGTGGGTGACGGGTGCTGGAAAGGGCACCTAGCGCTCCTTGCTAAATGGGGGAAGGGTGGGGCAGCACGTGGCAGTCACATCAGCGGAGCTGACATGGCTGGAGTGTTCTGGGCCCCAGTGGATGGGAGGTGGGGGACACCTAGGCTTGAGCTTCAGAACGTAGACCCGTCTCCTGCCCTGTGTTCCTGGGGAGGCTGCTGGGCCGTTAACAAACTGGAGTGCAGAGCGGGCCGAGCAGCAGGAGTTACTCTGCAGCAGGAAGGGTCCCCAAGGCTGGGTCACCATAGCTGCCCACCTCCTCCCTGCCCAGGTGCATGGAGGAGCTGCACTAGAATCCACGGGGACTTGGGAGGGTGAGCCACGTGGATAGGCGGGTGGCAGGCCGGGTCCCCAGGTGCTGCACTGGGGCGGAGCTGTCCTGACCTCCTCTCTGGGTGCCAACAGGCTGTTTGCTCAGGAGGCCACCACCTGGCCCAGCTCCGGGATCCGGGTGTCTGGGCCCTCTGCCAGCCCCACCAGCCACTTTCCACTCACCCACTCCACCCAGCGTGGAGTCCCAGGCCCTTCTTCCCCTGTCTCTGAGGACCGATCCTGAAGCCTCGGCATGTTCATCTCTGACTTGGGGGATGACACCAGCAACACCCCACCTTCTGGTTCTTGTCCAAAGGACTAAATGATTTCACACCTTCCACGTAACTGAGTTGCTCCTGTCCCTTCCCCCATGCCATCCACAGGATCCCTTCTGTCCTGGCTGAGGTCAGCAGGAGAGCCTGGGTCTGTGTTCCTGGGGTGAGGGGCAGGCCTTGGGCCTCACTTTGGAAACCTACTCACCTGGCTACCCAGGCTGCCTTCCCTGGTGCCTCAGCAGAAGCAGCCATGGAGAGGGGCAGTGCCAGATGGTTGAGCTCAGAAAACAATGGGCCTCTATGACCCCCTAGGATGGGCCAGTTCCATAGTACCTGGCTTTGGTTTCAGATGAGTCCCCTCAGATCCAATGCTTGAGGCTCGTAGCTGGAAATTCCAACCGCTTCAAGCCCCATCCCTGGAGGAGCGAGCAGGAGTACACCCCACACTCCCTTCCCATCCACCATGTTACCACCAGGGGGTGGCACCATCTCATGGAGACCTGGGAAACCCAAGGACCTGGCCTTGGGCCTCCCTTTCCTGACCTGTGCTGATCAGTGCCAGGCTGCCCTGAGCCCCTCAGGCCACTGTCTTGGGATGGCCCCCCACAGGTCTTTCTTGGCTGTTTGTTACTGCTGGCCCCTTGTCTGCCCTCCAGACCACCTGTGTGTGCCGGGTCACAGTCTCCCTGCCCTGCTGGCCATAGGTCACTGCTCTGGCACCAGCATTCCACCTGATCAAGTTGCATTTCAAAGCATGGATGGTTCACTGGGCAGAAATGAGGCAAGGGACCCCCTGCAGAGGGGACTCAGCGAAGGCTTTTCCGGTGAGCGGCACAGCGCCTGTGGAGGACACGTGCAGCTTAGAGAGGCAGGGACATAGTGGCACGGGCAGGACAGCAGCAGAGAGACTCGAAATCTGGGTTGCAAGGTTGCCAGGCTCAGCTGGGGACCTCCACCGGGGTGGATGAAGGTCTGACACATGGGACAGCCCGGTGCCCAGAAGGCTGGGTTCCCATGAGGGTGGCAGACAAGAATCACAGCGATGGCTGCTCAGTGCCTCACAACCACCCTGTGAAGGGGGCCCATGACTGCTTACTTCGCAGATGAGAGAGCAGACAGGGCCCTCCCACTGCCCTCCAGCTGGCTCCCAGGTGGGATGCGCCCCAGGGAGGCATGGGCCGCCTGCCCTCAACATCCCCTAGCTGTCTCCCCCACTTGTCTGGTTCAGGCCCTGCTGTTTGGTTGAATGTGAAGTCCCCCGAGATTCCCTGCTCTTGTGCAAGCCCTGGGTTCTCATCCCTGATCTGCTTTCCCCTCGCTGGTCACCTCCAGGTAGTGCTTTAACCCTTCAAACCTCAGTTTGCCCTTCTGGGAATTGGGGATCCTAGTCCCTGCCTTATCTCCCACTCCAGTTCCGGTGAGGGCCCCAGGAGAGAACAGATAAGGAGGGCTTTTGAAAAGTACAAAGAGCTGCACTCATGAAGCAGGATTATTATTGTTACCTTGATGCAGAGATAAGGGAGGGGGAGGAGGCCCAGTGACAGTTGCCAAGAAACCTGGGAGCTGTCAGCAACGGCTTCTGTCTGGCCCAGCCCACTCAGGAGCAGGCCCTGCCCCCCATTCTGCTACCTGGCCCTTTCCCAGGGAAAGCAGGGTACTCTGGGAGGGAGGGGAATTGGGCCAGCTGGCTGGTGGCCATAAGGCCACAGGGGCTGGAGGTGACCCCAGAATGTGCCTGGCACAGATTCCAACTTGGCTTCGGTTTTCTCTGTGACCTTGGGCAAGTCACCCCTTTGGCTGCTGCGAGAGGTGGGCAGGTGTCCAGACCAGACGGGGCAGGATCCCCACAGGACCGAGGGAAGACACTGGCGGTGGAACCTGGGGCTGCAACAGGGAGGTCACTGTGGGCAGAGACCAAGTGACAAGTCCGAGGGCTCGAGTTGAGAGCGGCTGGTACGTGCATAGTGAAATGAACCCCAG